TTGAAATCAAACCAAGCCAATCGAACTAAAATGTTTAGGATTTTCATTCCTTTTATTTTCCATTTTTTTTGTGTTTGAATAATCGTACAAAATAATCCGCCTGACCTTCCTCGAGTGATACGACCCGATCTCGAATCTTTTGATTTAACTCCAAAAAAAATATTTACAACATCCACCAACCCGAGAATCAGCCTCACAGCACCCATCCGGTGGTAGTAATTTTCAGGCTCCAGTGAGAGCGGCTTCAGCGGCGAGTCAGCACCATTGCAAAAGTGGGCAAAGATATTAACAAACCCCGTAACCTTTTTATCTCAATTCCGTTGATTAGTGCAATACAACTAAAAGGTAGAAAAAAAGGGCAAAGGTAGAAAAAAAGGGCAATTTTCAGTTATCCATCCAATCCAATCCAATAATTTTATTCAATCCAATGGGTGCCGAAAAGTTGTGAATTTACGACTAAATGGCCTAATGTGTATTTATAACCATTTACATATGTCTAGGGAACTAAAAAACCCTTCGTATACCATACATCAACATTGATACTAATTTGCTTTGTCAAAGTGGAGTGTAACTTTTTTTATGCATCCACCACACCTTTTTCATCATGCAATTTTCTCTTCTTTTCTTTACTATTCTTTCTTCCTGTTGGTCATCCCACACCATCACAGTTACCTTCAGGTAACACCTTATCATCAATGATATTCTTGTTTTCATCATCCGCTTGTTTATCTGGTGCAATGTTCTTATCATGTTTCGATTGTCATTTTAGATTTTTAATCATTATTTTCCAGCAATGAACCCATTTAAATTTGCTACCTTCTATATCATACCCAACGCCTTGTGAATCTACAAATATAATAAATAAAATTTGAAAACTGTGGTGATAGGTAACAAAAAAATTATTTTATGATGAAAACACTTAACACAATATAATATACTTACCAAGTCTTTTGAGTTTGTCCTCTCTAGTTTAGAATAATGTCCTGCAAAGTTTTTTACCGTTGCATGTATAATGGACCAATGACATTGTAAACTATTAGACGATCTAAGATATTCGCATCCAGGCCCCATGTTTTCCTTCCATACTTGATGGATACGAACCCACATGGCAGTAGCTTTTTTATTGTTACCCACAATAGGGTCCAACCCAGAGCCACTAGTTACCATGTTTAAAACTGGTCACTGGAGTGTAGATAGGAAAATGAGCATTGTCCACACCACTTTGATTGATTACCATTGGATTTCTAACCATTGGAGTGTTCAACAGGCTTTGAAATGAAGGAGTGGCTCCATATTATAGGTCAACATGAGAAGGATATAATCCACTTGAATTCAAATGAAAACCAGGAGGATGAGATTCTGAGTTGTGATGAACAGGTTGGTTTGAAAATTGAGATGTCAAGTCATAGTTAGAGCGCTTATCGGAATTTTACATGATATTCGATTCTTCAAGATCCCTGCTCATCTTTATGAGCAAGAAGAATTACAAAAAACCTAAACAAAACAATATTAATGAGGAAATATTTTGTCCACACCATCACAATTAATAAAATATTTGATCCAAACTTATGGTTAAAAATAAGAATTCATTCAAGAATCTGACTGATACACCAGCTAAGCGTGCTACATAAGCAATAAATGAGGTTAGCATGCTTTGCTGAAAGTCACCTTTTTAATCCCATAACTACATATTAGTTTGTTTTTAACTTTCTATTTTTATTTATATTATTACTTGGCAAAAGGTAGAGGAGATAAAAAAGCTTGCATATTTTTCTATTGGTTACTCCACCATGCTACAGAAGACAAAGATTAAAAGCAGGTCCATTTCTTTGCAGCAAGACTTTCTACTTTTTTAGCTTACTAGTACAACGCCTGTGTATTACACGGGAACTTGCTATTTTTTTTTAAATTTAAAATTAACAAAAAAAAGTAGTTGAAAATTTAAATATTTTTTATAAATATATATATATATATATATATTATTTTATTTCAGAATGATACTTATTACTTGTGCGACTTACATGTTATATTATAATAAATTTTCTAACTATAGCATATAACTACATTAAACATGAATATATTAATTGAGATTAATTTTATTTTTTAATTAATTTTAATAAATATTTTTTTATTATTGTAAAGATAAATATAATTTATTTATTTTATATATACAATATGGATGTCAAATCGAAGCTCATCAAAATATGATTAATCTGATACATTATATATGTAAAACAGTTAACAAATACAAAAGTTATTAACTTTTAAAATACATTTACAATTCAATAGTTATAATAGGAAATGATATTAAAATACAATTAATACATCTAAAATGATCATAAATAAATCAACATATTTATGGTAATCCGAACCTAATTAGTTTTGGATTGGAATTAAATTAAAATATATCCAAGCCAAATAACAAAGCATAGAATTTTGACACATAGGATTCCGAAGCATGTGAGCCTGCCACTTAGGCTTAGCACATTCGTAAATTATATATAAGAAGAATAATATGTTAGAGCATCTCCAATGCTATACTTTTGAAAGATTATGATTTTTAACACATGTCAATCAATGATTGTAATAGTAATCCATCTAGGAATAATGTTAAAAGAGTAGAAAATTGAATCAAATTAATATCTCCAATGCATCAATTTGATAAAAAGTTATTTGTATAGGTGGACCAATTAAAGTAATCATTAATACAAGAAAAATAAAAAATTAAATAAAATATAATGTGAATTAATTAGTCATCATTTTTAACATGGCGTTAGATATTAGAAAGTGTGCTCAACATTGTCAACATTAAATGATATCCACCTCATCATGAAAGAACTCATGACAAGATGCATTGGAGAACAAATTAGTAACACACCTTCAAAAGTTGATGATATGGATGAATTTTTAAAATGTCAAAAGCCACATTGGAGATGCTCTTATGTATAGTCCCATTCTTTTCATTTTCACACCACATTAACTTTTTTTTTTTAAATTTATTCTGCAAATACCTACATTTATCCTGAAATTAAAACTAGAAAAAAATGGAAATAAGTTCTCATTCTTTTAGTCATTTTTGTTCCCTCATAAGAAAAAACTCTCCCCGACTATCCAGATATCAAATAAGCTCCTTAGAACTCCACAAAAAGCCAAGAAATTTTGAGTGAAGATTGAATCTTTGCACCACCCTACCACCTTTCAATCTTCAATTTTTTTCAGAAACCATTTGCAGAAGTAGTGAAATAGAAGGTTTAAAGATAAGCCAACAAAGGTAGCAAACTTAAGGTAAACAAATAAAAAAAAAAAAACACAGCCCCCTAAACTCTCCCAAACAGAAACCCAAACAAATCTAGTTAAAAAGGAAAAAAAAAAAAAAAAAAAAGCCCTACTCTCCCAATATACAGAAATCCAAACATATTACGAAAATTGGGTGCCCGCCAATTTTTCCCACCAGGTTTTGGTCGATTTTTGAGAACTCTTTCTCCCGAAATTTGCTGAGTCTATCATGTGAAAAAGGACGTAGATATTTCGCAGTGTATATCACAGTACAATTGCCAACTCATCACAACTTGTATTTTTCATAATACCATTGGAACGCAAAATGTGGAATGATAGTGTAGACATACAAATATTGACCCAATAAAATGTCGACAAGTGTCAAATTCTATGTCAAAATTAATTTAATATTTTCTATTTTATTTGAGAAATTAATCGAATTTTAATTCCTAAATTAAATAGCTAATTAATTGATTATTTAATATATATTGTTGGCCAATTAAAGATTGCCACATGTATATTTTGAAGGCCAATTAAAAAATGTCACATGTCATTTATTTTTAGAGTAAATAAATATTTATTTCTTTTAATAATTATTAAAGAGATAAATAAATGGAAATTCATGAACCAATCAAATTGAAGTCTTCTTTTCCAAAACTCTCTCTCCTAATTATCTCTTTAAATAATTATCAAGAGATAAATATTAGAAATTATGGACCAATCAAATTGAAGTCTTCTTTTCCAAGACTCTCTCTCCCAACACCTATAAATAGGGGCTCTCCTCAAAGTGAAAAGAACCCAATTCATATTCAAATCCACAAGTCACATTCAAGTTAAGAGCTCTAGAGAATTCTCTCCACAAGATTCAAGTGTTATTGAAAATCCAAAAGCGTTCTTGAAGATTCGAAAGAAGATTCAAGCACGTCCAAACCGACGTTCAATCCGGAAACAAGCTGCCAAGTCTCCGAATTGCGTTATTAAAGTTCAAGTGTTTTGAAGATTTAAAGGCGTTCTTGAAGACCCGAAGGAAGATTAAAGCGCATTCAAGCCCAAAATCGACGTTTAATCCGGAAACAAGCTGACAAGCCTCCGAATTACGTTATTCAAGTCAAGAACGACGTAGAGAAGATCAAAATCAACTTTGCGGCGAAGACCAAGGATTCGTGTTCTTCACGTTCTTGGGAAATTACGACGTTCGATTCGAGATCAAGCTATCAAGCCCTCGAAGAAACGTTATTTAAATCCAAATTCAAGACCGGCGGAGATCAAATTGAAGATTCGTCTCCAAAAGTCTCATATCCATTTGAAGCTTGATCTTGAAGAAATTAATCAGAGGAATAATAGAGATTTGTAATCCAATATATTTCGTTTGATCCATTCAAAATCCATTTGTACGAATTTATCGTGTTTATTAATTCAATAATACGAAATTTTGCATTACAGATAGTTAACTTATTGGAGATGCTCTAAAGTTAGGGAACTCATATTATAGAGAACTTGTAGTTTTCTAATAAATCTGAATTTAAATAGACACATTCACTCATTTTGTTTGGAAATTATAGCGGTGGTAATTGAGGCGCAATACTTTCAGAAACAAGAGATGAAAACCTCAAATTCCGAAGATGGCAAAATATCTGCGTCCATATCATCTAGGAAATGAAAGTTCATTAAACTCTCATGGGGTATTGTAGGGTTTGTTTATCTCGGCCAGGGCTGCTCGGAAAATGAGAATCCACTCAAATTCAACTCTCGCCAAACTCCGATCTATTTCAAAACACACAAATCTGCGGGCTTGGTCGGTTTTCACCGGCGCCGCCTCACCACCGACGACGTCTTCGTCTCTTCCCGATCGGAAGAAGGGACATCGTCACAAGGAGTTCCTCGTGGCCACGCACTTAGAGGAGGAAGGCGTTGAGTACTGCCGTATCTCAACTAGCGACGAAAGGACTTACAAGGTCCGCCAGTTGAAGTTTCCCGACACCGAGCGCAGCACCTTTTTCTATCCAGATTCGTATTGTAATGAGCTGATGTTGGCTTCTTCGGCTAGCTACTCTATGATGCACGCTGCTCTGTGGAACCCTACTACCGACGAGGTAATGAGCCTCCCGCCATCCACCGCCTGGAGGCCGCTGATTGAGGCTAGTTCTATCATTTATTATGGTTTGGGTTTTGATCCCTCATCCCAAGACTACAAGGTTATCAGAATTCTCAGAAATCGTGCTGCCGAGCTGTACTCGCTCATAACTGATTCCTGGAAAGAAATTCCATATCCCCACTACCCTGCTTCCCCACGGGGTGGAAGATTTTCGATTTACATAAATGGCTTTCAGTATTGGGTGGACTCAAATCCTCGTCGTACCGGTTCCTGTATCATTTCATTCGACTATGTGAATGAGGAGTTCCCGAGGGCTAAAATCCCTCTGCCTCCTAGCCGTTTTCCTATCGATCCATGCTCGAATTTTTGTCTTGCTGAGTTTGATGGATCCCTGGCTGCTGTTGTTTACATGGAGAACCGGGAGATCCGGGGCCGTTGGATGGACCGTTTTGAATTTGAAATTTGGGTGTGGAATTGCGAATATTGGGCTCGGGTGAAGTCTGATGTTACTGATGTAAACCATACAATTGTTAGGATCATGGGCCTTTTCAACAACGACAAGTTATTTCTTGGGGACGAGAAATCTGAGGTGGTGCTTTGGGACTGCACCACAAGAGAGTTGAAGTATCTACGTATATGTGTTGATCGATGGTTCTCCATCATTGCTCCATATGTCGCTAGGCACATGCCAATCCGAAGGAAAAACATTAGCCCGCCTTGTACGCGGAGAGATGTGGGTCCAAGGTCCTCTGAGGTCAATTCACCCCACAGAGCCACCACCAAATATGTGATCGACCGTGGCGAATTCCAGGATAAATTATGTTTCTGTCACTTAATTGTCGAGCATCATCAGAAAAACGGCCTCGTGGGGACACATAGTCGTCTTGATTTTACATTTTTTAAGCATACTGATTATTTTCTTCCCATTGATAGCTGCCGCTCGCTCGTGCTCGTGTCTACTACTAATAAGGAGAGTGACCTGCAGTGCGCTCTATGGAACCCGACAACTAACGAGGTCAAACCCCTTCCAGAATCTTCCGTACCCCTCCCGCCTTACACAGCATGCACCGAAATCAATTCCCATGCATTCGGATTCGACCCGGTTTTTCTGGACTACAAGGTGGTGCGTCTTCTTGAGTTCTACGATGAAGACCATGATGAGGTTCGCGACTACTTCCGAGCGGAAATCTACTCATTGAAGAATGATTCTTGGAAGGAAATCGCTCGTCCTTCTCGTCTCCTGGTGTCCGGCTTATCTCGTCAGCCTATTCACATAAATGGCTTTTGTTATTGGAGGTCGTTGAGCGGTATCATTCCGTTCGACTTAGCCAAGGAAGAGTTCTTGACTCATATTCCTTTTCCCCAATCGAAAATTCCTTTCATCTATAATTTCCGGCTTGCCGAGTTAGATGGGTCCCTGGCTTCTCTTGTGTATAGAACCCCGGATTTTTTGGTGACCGCCGAGAGGCCTTTTGAGTTTGAAGTTTGGGTTTGGAATGACGATGGGTCATGGACTCGAGTCGTGTCTCAAATCATCACTGGTGCTGCTGTGGACGATGTACTCGGCATCTTCAATAATGACAAGTTGTTTCTGCGTGACATGAAGGGTGATGTGCTTGTGTTTGACCTTCTGACATCTGAGTTGACCAATATTGGTTCTGGTGTTGAGCCTCGTGAATGCAAATGGATTTATCCTTATGTCGAGAGCGAGGAGTCAATCGGAACCTACCTGCCATGATATGCTGCATGAATTAATACGTGATGGTGGGATGGCACTGTAATGATTGCTCTGATTTCATTTGATTTTACTTGATCCAGTTGGTTTATTTATTATTATATTGTTTGTACATTTCCGGTGAGTTTGGTTAGTATTATTGATTGAGCGTGATGTGTTATCCTTTTGATAAAGAAGACTATTAACTTTTTCGTTACTATTAATTTGACTCTCCTCGGATCACGATCTGTTCTTTTGTATTCTCGTTGCAGTTGCCAGGTTTTTATTGTAGATTTTCTTGCTTTTATTTTTTATTTTTTGTTTTTTATTTTTTGTTTGACTTGATGTATATCAGACATTAGACTTGTGTCCTTGTGATCTTTCAACCCATTTAAAGTATTTTATATACAGGTTGAAGGTTCAGCCTTTTTTTTTTTCGAAACGATAGGTATTCTCATTCATAACATAAACGGAGTACAATACGGCGGATTAACTAATCCGAATACAAAACTAGAAGGAGGAACGCTTGCAATAAGCGCCCTAAAACACAAACAACCAACTAACGAGGACTATAAGCAAAGCAGGATCACTCGAAAAACTATATCCTCGAACTAACGACAGCACTAGATAACCAAAATGAACTAGAAGCTATTGTTGAAAACTGAACATAAGAACCTAATCAACAAAAGCATCCTAGCATTAACCCCGAGAAATCTTGCGGTATTTAAATTCCATCCACTCCCGCCAAGCGTTGTCCACGATCAATTTCTCAGGGATCCATTCTTTTCGAAAAACCCAAAGGTTACGGGCTTTCCAGAGCCACCATAGGATATACGTGGAGAGTTGGATTCGAGATTCTGAAATATCAGTCTTATTGAGCTCCGAGATTTTCCACCACCAATCATTGAATGAACCTGATTGTTGCCTGCAAAAATCCCATTTCAGAACTGAAATTTTCCAAACCTGTGAGGCCCTCCTGCAGTGAAACAGAGTGTGGACAGTACTTTCCTTGTCTTCACCGCAGCAAGTGCAAATATCATCAAGCTCAACTCCTCGCTTTTTAAGAGTGTCTGCAACAGGTAAGGTGCCAGTAAAACACTTCCACACAAAGTGTTTGATCTTTCCTTTGATGTCCAGCTTCCAACATCTAAGTCTGGCCTTTTTGTCCTTAGTAGCTGATTCACTCCCTTCAGCTTTGTCAAGCCTCAATAATTTTTCTTTAATAAAGGTAGAGTAGGCAGATTTTACAGAGAAAAGACCAGTCACGTCCATCCTCCAAACCCATCTATCTCTTTTTCCAGGGTCAAGCTGTCTGATTTTTAGAATTTTGGCAACCACAGGTTCATCAAAAAGTTCTTTGAGAAGAGTAACATCCCAGCTTCTCCATCCCTCTACAATCAACTCAGAAACCATTTTAGGGATTGGGAAATTTGTATTAATATTCTTGAACTGAGGAATTCCAGTCTGCATATCTTGAATCCAGGGGTCCTTAAGAATCCTTGTGTTAATCCCATCTTTGATATCCCTCTGGAAACAGTGCTTATATTTGTCCTTGATTGTCATCCAGCAATTCCAAACCCATGAAGAGCTATGAGTTCTGTGGCCTTCAATAACTGAACTATTTGGAAAATATCTGGCTTTCAAGATTTTAGACATAAGAAGATTTGGAGAAGTCAGCAGCCTCCATATCTGCTTTAGAACAAGGGCTTCATTGAAGAGCATGACTTCTTGGAATCCCAATCCTCCCCAGTCTTTTGGAGTTGACATCCACTACCAAGATTTCCAGTGGATACCTTTGTTTTGTTTCTCCCCAGAACTCCACCAGAAGCTAGCACAAAGCTTGGAAATCTCCTTGCAGATTCCTTGAGGAAGCAGAAACACAGACATCAAGAAGGTGGGGATAGCATTGAGCACAGATTTGATTAGAACTTCTCTACCCGCAGTAGAAAGGAATGAATTTTTCCAGCAGTACAGCTTTTTCCTCACAGCCACCAAAATAGAGTCAAAAACCTCTTTTTTTGATTTCCAATACCTAAGGGCATGCCCAAATATTTGGAAGATTTATGCACAGCAATGCCAAGAAGAATATTGCATATCTGTTGTTGCAGGGCTAGAGGAGTGTTCCTACTGAAAAGCTGTTGATTTCTCCATATTCACTGTCTGACCTGTGAATCTTCTATACTTGTCAAGAATATTAAGGAGAGCTTGACTCTGCAGGCAAGAAGCTTCACAGAAGACTAGAGAGTCATCCACAAAAAGTAAGTGAGTAATAGAGGGACCATTTCTGGACAGCTTCAACCCATTAAAAGACTTCAATCTCACAGCCTCATTGATAATTCAACTTTATTTCTTTGAATTCTAAGCAAATAATTCATTTGCTGAGTCATAGCCCAATAATAAAAAAAACAAAAAATCAATCTTGAATCCCAATGTGCGAAAACATTAATGAATTAATGGGACCAATAGTTGTCATATTAGTATATTTACTAATTAACCAAAAAACAAATTTGATAACCTTCACGAAACACCATGGCATAACAGATAGCAAATACAGAATTCCAAGCTTAGCTGTAACTGAAGCGGATCAAACGAATTCATTGAAACAAATATCCGAAAAACTACACATGAATCCGAATCTTGATGGATTCATATCGAGTGCAGAAAAACGAATTTAATAAAAATATTGTTTCTCTAATATCCAATATGAAGAAGCTCTGATACCAATTGATAGAAACTGTATTTAAGTTTATTCGAAATAAATTTATATTAATCCCAAGAACTTTTATATTGAATAATCGAGAATCATAACCGAATAGCGGAAGCATACCTGATGAATTCATGTTGACTGAATAATTATAGTTGGGATTTGAAAATCTTCCAAAAAATCGTGAATTTCCTTATTTCTTCTTTCTTCTGGACGTAATAAAAGAAAGAGAACTTGATGATCCTTATGATGCCCCATAACACCCTTTTTTATAATTAGCCAGATGAATTCTGATGAATTCATAATTAATAAAGGAAGTGTAGGTTAACTACTACCAACCGTGTAGGTTAACTACTACCAATCACCCCTTTAAATATTTATTTTTTTTTATTCTTTATGGTTATCTTAACGGGCATTACTTTATTTTTACGATTTTTGGGAACTTCACCCACAAACAATTTTGACTCAAATTATATGTTATTTAGGTTCTTTAGTTTAATATTATTATTTGTTACTTCACCAAATAATAATATTACCAGGTGTCCACATTTAATCATTCCACAATCTAAATTAAGTTCATAATAATATTATCAGGTGTTCACATTTAATATTCCACAATCTAAACTAAGGAATCCTTAGGGCTTGATTGTTTACTAATTATTTCACTCTCTTTTATTTCAACTCAAAATTTAACTCAACTTTAACTCAACCCCACTATCTTTAATATTATTCATATAATACAAACCAATCATTCTTACACATCACATCAAGTTTAATTCATTATTCATCCACTCACATAATTTTAACTACCTATCATTTTCAATCATTTCCAATCATTTATCTCTTACTTTTACATCAAATCAATTTTAATCATTTTATATTAAATATTATTTTAATACATTCTTAAAATTCCACTAACAACTAACCATACACCTTTTTCAAAATTAACCATGGTTAACCAAAATAACTCATGTTGAACAAATTATTCCATAAACAATGTACAATAATTTGATCACTTTATTTTGGCTAAAAAATATAATGAACTAATTTATTAATTACACATATTTAATCCCAAAATAGATCTCCAAAGTATTAATTACACATATTTAATCTCAAAATAGATCTAACATTCCGTATTTACGCATGTGAGTCCAACACATGACATGCAACAAATCAAATTTACGTTTAATTTTGTGATCACCATTTTAAAGTTGTGAAAAAGTTTTGCTCGTGGGGTGCTTTATGATTTTTTTCATTGGGAAAAATCAAAGAAACTGTGAAAAGTTTCCGGCTTATGTATCTTGTGTAGTTAATTTAGATTTCATAGGCCCTACTTATATGACGGGCCATATTCTATCTTTGCAACTAAAATGATAACCAAAAAAAAAAAAAGTACATGTTTCTAATTAATTAAAATAATAAAAGAACATCATGCATCATGAAATCACGATTTGCTCAGCTTAATCCAAATACCGTAAGTCATGAAGTTGAGCCCGTAACCATCCCGGCTGGCAAACCCCCCCTCGATCGAGTGGTACATCCCCGTGGCCACAGAGTACAACACACCGCTCTCCCCAAAAAACTTGTTCATGTAAATCTTGTTCTCCAACCCTCGGCACGTCTCAACAAATGAGCCGTTCCTACTAACGTACATGCACTTGCCCCCCAAACTCTCGACGCTCCTCCAACACGACCCCTCGAAATCCCATTTCCTCACACTCACTTCCCTCTCGGCATCGCACACAAACACGGCCCATATCTCCCCTTGGTCTTCTGCAAGGTAGATTTCATATCGCTCCCATTCATAATAATATTCATCTTCAGCCTTCCATTCGACTTCCTCGACGTCTTCCTCGACTCCATCACCCTTGGGAATCCAGCGAGCAGTACTTGGGTCGAACGTGACCAAGTCCTCCGAATAGGAATCGATGTAGTGGTACGCCCCACCGTGGAAAAACGGCGGGCAGCTTTTCAAGAATATGCCGGAAGAAAAGCCAATCTCCCATTGCAAGTCACCAAACCGAATGAGTCCATACATAGTCGGCCGATAGTATCCGCCAAAGATACCGAAAACGAAACAGTCTTCTCCGGTTGGCCGGGACGTGAAGCAGACCAAGTGGAAAGCTATTTCAGTCGGGGGGGAGTTTGAATCTCTGCCTCGTCAGCGGGTTGAAGAATATCAGATGATGGTGAGTAGGACTATTGGATACGAGGAGGAGGAGCCAACCGTCTTTCGAAAACATGATTTCGGCGTGTTTGAATTCGGGAGGGACGTCTAAATAGGAAAAGGCGTTCTGGAGAGAGTGAAATATCTTCCAACAGCTAGGATTGCTCGACTGGGGGATTATTAGGCAGAGCGAGTGGAGATGAGGAGAGTCGGCCGGCGGTGGAAATGGTGGTTCGTTCGGGACGACAGAGCTCCACGACCGGCAAACGAGTTTGAAATTCACGCGATCCTTGAAGAACAATTTGGATAGTATTAGGCTCAGAATCTCCGGGGGAGCGTCTGACCAATTATTCCTTATAATCACTTTCCTTGTCGAGTATGATTCTATTAACCTTGATAACCAATCTCCAGCCGCCGCCGCCGCCATCGAATGGAATAAAATCGTCAAACAAATTTTTCAAAATAATTATAATGATAAGTTGATTATAATTCTCTCGGCAATGGATGTACACGAGTTTATATATTATAATTGCCAGTGTTTTGGTATGAAAAGATATTGTGAGGTCCAATGATTCTTAATTATATCTGATCCTATATATTGTGTATTGTATTAAAATATATATGTATATTGACATCACATTATATTTAACGGGATTTACAAAAGATTACAATATATGGTGATTAGTGTCCTAATTAGGTTAGGAGTTATCATTCGTTTTGCCTATATATATATGGTCGTTAATTAATTAAACTATTTGGTATAGAATAGCAGCCAAAGCAAATTCTGAATGAATATAATATAATGGGTGAAACTAGTGAGAAAACATTAACAACTTCCTTTAGCGGAGTATCAGCAGCAGCAACAAAGGACTGCTGTTTTCCCCTCGATGATGATCAGGCGGGATGATCAGCGGGTCATCCTCGGCTGCTCGTATCTCATGGCCCATGCCTCGAAAACCATGCACTCTACAACATATCCAAAAACCAACACGTGGACTTGGACATACCCGAGCTAGTCTCGAAGGAGGTGTTCTTCACCTCGTACGGCAATTGGGTCGTCCTCATTGACATAATCATCGATCCACTATGCCCCGTACAAAAATGCGGTTGTTGTGTCCTTAACATAACATCCGGCGAGAAGATCCGTATCCTGCACCAGTGGCACGGCAGGTTTTTCGAGTGCATCCTGTCCGGGCCCCCGACCGAGCCCGACTGCCACCTCATCTTCCTCCCGATGCCTAGAACTGACTACCTCTATTACTGCCGGTTGGACGATGGCCACTTTATTAACGCACGCGGGAATTTCGGGTACAACAACAATAGAAGAATTACCGCGTCGACTGCTGCTAGTTTTGGCGGGAAAACCTATCTGTGGAAGGGAGACAGTTTGTTCGAATTAGTGTTTCGCGGCGATCGGAGGCTAGATTTTGTCCCGCTCGTGCGTGTGGCTGCGGTGGATGAGCTCTTCACGTGGCCGGTGAAAGCCGACCGGGTCGAGGACTTCATAGTCTCGGCGGAATATGGGGAGGGTTTTCCGCTTCGAGCCTCCTTCCAGAGGTACTCGGACTTGTTCGAAAATGTGGCGTATTTCAGGGTTTTCCGCATAACTATGGGGAATGGGAATAAGGAGTGTGTGGAGGAGCTGACGAGCATAGGAAATCGTGCCCTTTTCTTGGGGAAGCACGGGAGCACAGCGTGCCGTGCTGACGTGTCATCGGGGGTTAGAAGGAACTCGATATATTATTATTGGTTCGATCAGGGTTTGTATGTGTATGATTTCGAGGAGCGGAGCACGACACCACTCAGGCCGTGCCCGCCGGTTAAGAGTGGAATATTCTCTTTGTGTTGGGTGTGATATATCAATGCATTGGAGTTAAAGAACTGTTCTTTCTTGGGATTCAATGTTGTTTCTTGTTCTGCTTGGATATACACAGATTATTTAGTTCGAATTTATGAATATACACGGAATATTTATTTCGATAATGCAACAAATATGATCGATTATAGCGCATGAAATGAACTTTCACGTTCTACGTTATTGAGCCCGTTAAATAAGCCTCTCTAAATTAAATTGAATAAGCCCATGTAAATTTCTCAATTCTTAACTGGCCAAGAAAACTGAATAAACTAAGTAGCGGCGACCCTCGTACTAAATTTTGCAATCCGGTGAAACCACGCTTCCGCCGTCACACCACTGAGCAATTCACCGCGACCATGCTTCTCCCCGCCCGCCGCGCTTTGTAATTCGGCAGATCTAAGCAAAGCATTTCATGTACAATAGTGTTCATGAGCCAAACCAATTTTTTATAAATAAAAGTCGAATTAGCTTAACTGCTTAAGTAATGTGATATTATAGGAGATGAAATAAGGTCAATTCCGAGCTCGGGTGCTAGCTCGGGGTCTAGGCACGATGATGTAGGGAATCGTACGAGTGAGAAGGATAAAAGAGATACTCTCTCTCGATAAACCACACAAGAACAGATTTTTATTTCAATCGATAAACTGCTCGTACATTCTGCCAGACTGCTAATAAATAGAGTTCAAGATCTCCACAATCCCTAACTTATCAAACAAGTAAATAAATATCTTCTAACCACCTTAATAAGATAAATAATAATAATAATAATAATAATAATAATAATAATAATAATAATAATAATAATAATAATAATTAAACTATTAAACTATCCTCATCATTCTCCCCCAGTTGAGCAGGATTCGGCCTCGAATCCGACTCGTTTCTGTTGGAGTCGTCCCCATGAAGAGAAATACCCCCGACATTTCCCTCGATCGAGCACGAATGTTGAAGGTCTTCCAACAACCTCGAACGTAAACAGGATCTCGGTCAAGGACTTAACTGCTGTGAAGACACAAGTACTCGTCACCATACGCAAAGCCCGCAAAACTGAATGAACACTAAATACACCACCTCGTTTGTCGCGCTCAAATCTATACCAACAGCCAAGCATCCCGTTGTTGGGATATTTCGCGAAAGGCAATCGGAAAATGGTTCACCAATTATCGGGCATCGACTTTGGCTCCGAAAAACCATCTTTGGCCAAAATACCTGAAGTGAATAAGTTTCACCCGGACTTCTTCAACTCGAACGGCCTCCGCACCTGCAGAACCCAATGTCGGGGGTAGCCTCGGCGTCGGGCCTCCGATGCCTAAGTCAGTGCCCAGATCAAGAGAGAAAAAGTATGTAGTAAATGAATGAGGAGAGAGAGTATGGTAAAAATGAGTGAATAGAGAATGGGAGAATGCCATACCTTAGCCCCCTTTTATAGAGGGAGTGTACCTTTTGGGCTCAAGGTGGGCTTGGCCCATATCGTTATGCTAAATGTCTTAAGCCATACGCGGACTTATCTTCTGATATGTATTCGTTGTAGCCATTAAACCCGGTCTAGTATAATATCCTATATCATTTAGTCCCCCCACTCTGGTCGAGTAAGCATAACTCGATTCAAGAGTGAAATGCCTCTTCGAGCACCGAAAGTCGAATGACCATGGAATAACCACTGAAATATCCTCCCAATGAGCATTGAGATTTCAAGATAAAAAACCAAAGGACCACGAAAGTAAAAAATCGAGTGATCAGACACCGGGGTCGAAAACCTAAAGAGTTGTCGATAAAGACAAGAACCAAATGACATACCACTGAGGTCGAATGCCAGAAGTCGAACTTCAACTGAGGTCAAAAAACTGAATGATCTGCTGTTGAGGTCGAACATCGAGTGACCCCAAGGCCGAAAACTGAAAATCGATAATCGAGAGACCGCTGAGGTCGAAAACCGAGAGCTGAAAGACCGTTGAGGTCAAAAACCGAGAGTCGAAACACTGTTGAGGTCGAAAACTGAGAGTCGAAACATCGTTGAGGTCGAAAGCTGAAAATCGAGAGACCGTTGAGGTCGAAAGCCGAGAGTTGAGACCGTTGAGGTCGAAAACTGAGAGTCGAGACCGCTGAGGTCGAAAACCGAGAGCTGAAAGACCGCTGAGGTCGAAAACCGAGAGCCGAAACACCGTTGAGGTCGAAAGTTGAGAATCGAAACACCGTTGAGGTCGAAAGCCAAGAGTCGAGAGACCATTGAGGTCGAAAACCGAGAGTCGAGACCGCTGAGGTCGAAAACGAGAGCTGAAATACCGTTGAGGTTGAAAACAGAGAGCCGAAACACCGTTGAGGTCGAAAGCTGAGAATCGAGAGACTGTTGAGGTCGAAAACCGAGAGTCGAGACTGCTGAGGTCGAAAACCAAAAACTGAAGTCAAACACCAAAACTGAAGACGAGAGTCGAGAATAGAGAGACCATTGGGGTCGATAACCGAAAAGCGAGATGCCACTGATGAGGTCGAAAAACAAGAACCGAATGACCGCTCCTGCAATCTTGAATTTGAAAATTTGAACTTATGCCCGTTGTGTTTCGATCATCCTGTTCGAGCTCTCTTAGACCATTCCTTCCTATCGCCCCTCAATTTAAAATTTAAAATTCAAAATTTGCTGTATATCCTCTCAAAACCCAAATGACCTGATTTCATAAATTGCTCTGAATAAACTCGCTCGACCTGCCACAAAGGTCGAAAAATAAATTCGACAAGACCAAACCAAGCAAAAACCATCAACCTGCTCGTGTCGTAATGAATCCCATCTCCCTGCCTGCTCGAGTTATCCGTGGCGATTTTGATCAACCTGCTCGAGCTATCTGTAGCGAATTTGATCGACCTGCCTCCGAGGTTTCCATAGGCTCCATGTCTTCACGACCTAGCATTAGGATCGACCCTCGCCCACCCCTCGCAGGATCAGGGGTGTTCCAAATGTTGGAACCCATGAGGATCTCGATATGCACAAATCACAGACAAACATTCAACATAAACCTAT